CAGTCGGGTGCAAATGACAGATCTCATCGGAGAAGGTCCTTCCAGCCGACTAGCCCCCTCCCTAAGCCTCACTGTCCACCGTGCCCAGCAGCTGCGGGGCAACATCGCCCTGGACACCCACCCAGAATGAGCTCTGACCTGACCATATCCTCATCTCCCGCACCCTGCGAGGTCCTCCAACCCCTGACCCTCCTGTGCCAGAGGCCTGAGGCCCTCGGGGAGGCTGCAGGGCCATTTCCTCCCCTCTGCCGGCCCCTCCCAAGGAAGCCTGCAGGCCCACGTCCCCTGTGAGGACGACGGGATCAGAGCCAATGAAGATAAACGCCGCCCAGAAACGAGTTTAATGCTCATTGTCACAGAGGCCCAGGCAGAGTTGGGTGCCCCAGTCCAGAGATTCCAGAAAGATTCTTCACATCCAGCTCCCAGTGTTCAAGGCAGCAGACGCCTCCCAGGCCCTCGGAGGCCTTGGTCTTCACCTTGCGCACGCCCCCTCAGCACACTGTGGGCACAGCAGGGTCCCCGTCAGGCCAGCCGCGCTCCCCAGAGTCCAAAGCAGTTGCTCCCACCCACCAGCAGTCTGGGGCCCAAGTGCTAGAAAACCCCCTCTATTCGGGACACAGGAGGTCAGCCACCAGGACCCCACTACCACTGGCTGTGGTCACCTTGGGCAAACTGCGACCCTCCCCAGGCTGAGAGGACAGGCAGCCCCCTGCCCTCTGGGGAGAGCCCTGCTGTGCCAGGCCATCTGGCCACCCTTGCCCCTGGTTCCCCACTGTCCTCAGCCTGCTTCCCCCTGCACAGTGGGGTGACAGTGACATCCTGGGCTGCCACGAGCGCAGAAGTACGTCAACCCTGCAGGTGCAGCCTGGCACCTGGTCGTACCCAGCACTCAACCCAGGGGAGCTGCTGCCCTTAGCGGGCGGCGTGCTCCCCAGGCCCAAGCTCACCTGGGGCGCCTCGCTGGCACAGCCCTCCGCCGGGATGCCCAGGGCCTGCAAGATGCTCTCCCGGGGGACATAGTCTCCCGGAGACTTCTGGACGAAGTGCAGCAACACTCTGTCACCACCTACAGCGGTGGGGAGGCGGTCAGGATGCCCCTGCGTGCTGGGAGGAGGGAGACACCCCTCACTGTCCGAGACTCCACCTGGTTATCCTGACAAGGGAGCCGTCCTGGCCGCAGCCCACCCAGCACAGAGAAGACTTGACAAGGTCAGGAAGTCAGAGGAAGGGAGGCAGAGAGGGTCAGGACATGCCACCAAGTTCAGCCAGACCTTCCCAGCCCAGGATGTGACCTCGGCCCCCCAT